GATCACATCATGGTAATTAAATTAAATAAAAGGATAGATGACCACAAGTCGAAAGCAGCAACCAACAACTCAGCTGTAGCTGAACATTTGAACTCCAACCCTCGCCACAGAGTCCAATGGTCCAACGTAAAACCACTATGCAAGAATATAAGCAACAAGAGAGCGCGCCGATTACATGAAGCCATTCATATACGACGACACAAACCAACGATGAACAGAGATCAAGGATTGTTCCTCCCCAGGGCGTATGATATTCTTATCACATAATTAAGGCTAAGCATAATTCTACTTTTTTCTTTTTTATCATATTTAATACTTATCAATATTCCAGTAATAACTTTAAGTTTGTAATAACCATCATAATATGCAAAAATGACAACTAATAATTCCCAACTATTTTTGCTTTTCAGGCATTTCTGCTTTTCAGGCCTGCGGTTATTGTAATTTAATGCACTCAATATTTCTAACCCTGCTTTTCTACATCACCATAACATCCAGTGAAGTACCACTCAATATTTTAAATTGTCAACCTTCAGGGGACTATTGATCATTGTGCAGTCATTGTTCTAAGGGTTTTTCGTATATCAGTGTAATCACTCGCATCAACATCCACATATCAATTATTTTGGTTATAACACAAATCAAATCTCATCTTCGTGGGATGTTGTCATTATCAAAACCTCATCAAATCGTTGTAAATACTCCACAACAATCTATTCTTTTACCATTTGTATTTATTTCAGTGAAAGGGGTCGTTGATAACATTTCATCAATTTTCATTTTCTTGCAACGTTTGTATTATTAAAACCCACTAATCACTGTGTATACTCCACAACAACTTATCCATTAATCAATTAGTCAATTTTTTAGGTTAATTGGTATTATTACTTATTAGCGTACAATTAAATCAGATTACCATTAGGTACACGTAATTAAGTTACATCCCTGGTTTGTCATCATTAACTTAGCATTGTGGTGTACATGTATATATTGTCCTGTCATATTTTCATTTTTTATCATAGCTTGATAATGACTAGAGAAGCCTAGTCGAAACGTCGCTCAGTAAAAAGCAGTAATTGTATTCCATAGAATTGTGACCTGTATACTCTAGTTCAATTACTAAATGCCATTGAAACAGATTATTAGTCTTGTTGCTGCGAAAGAGGGCGTTAACTCCAATTCATTTGTTTATCTACTGATTTGGACAATGAAATCATGAGTTCCACTTTGTATCTAAATACACAGGAAAGTGCTCAAAATCTCATATACGGCGATGTAATTTTCAAAAAACAAAACAAAACAATTATCTGGTGAGACGGAGAGGAAGATGGTTTCCTTGCAGCCGATGCACACAGATAATGGTTTTATAGTTGTCTTTAAACCATTGCGTTAAATAGATTCATCAATATGAATATTATTTCATGGTGTATGTATAAATATGTATTGTTTGCTATAGTGTCGTACAAAAAGCTTTAAGTTTTAAAACCGGGCTATAAATAAAGATTATTCACTATATTTTTATTGGACTTTATTATCGTATGACTTTTCCTTAACGGCTTACTCAAGGGAGGCAACCCTGTTTAGTGGCTATTGGACTGAAACAGTTATAAATCTCATTCCCAAACTACTCTGAATATTAACCGGAGGGAGAGAGAGAGGGAGAGAGAGAGAGAATTTAACGCCCACTCGACACAAACTACATCATTCCGTGACTAACATATGGTTAAATAGTATTTCGATAATTCACTTGCGCGTAGGGGTCTTTAGCAGTAGAAGGAAACCGGGTGATCCAGAGAAAACCCACGAGGTTGGACTGGCGACCCTACTGTAACTAAATGGGAATAATATTTCCCCCAGATTGAACCACAGGTGCATGTAACGTGGAAACTATTTCAAAAATAACATCAAAGTATGACTAAGTATACATGTATGGCTAAAGTTACATACATGTAGGCTATGTTACGTCCAGTGGGGTTGGATGGCTGAATGGTTAGCGTGCGCGCGCTGTATCATAAAGTCTGTCATTGAGTCGACTGGCGTGGTTTCGAATCCCCGGTTGTACGTGACAAGGAGTAAGGTCGCCTGTCCAACCTCGTGGGTTTTCTCCGGGCCCTCCGGTTTCCTCCCACTGCTAAAGACCCGCTCTCTCTCTCCCTCTCTCTCTCTTTCTGTTGCGTCCAGGGAAGTTTGTGACAAACGCCATCAACAAGACCCTGTCGGCGAGTGCAGCTAAACCAAAAACCCCGACTGCCCCAGTCAGAATCTTCCTTCCTTTCAACGGCAAAGTCTCCTACCAAATCAAACGGCTACTAATGCAACAACCAGAAATAGATGTAACTTTCACAAAAAGCTACAGCACTAAAGATATATTAAGAGCCAATGGTAAACAAAATCCTACACAACCACCACAACCAAAGGGATGTGTTTATCAAATAGTATGCAATTGTGGGATTGCATACATCGGGGAGACAAAGCGACCATTAAATAAAAGGATAGATGACCACAAGTCGAAAGCAGCAACCAACAACTCAGCTGTAGCTGAACATTTGAACTCCAACCCTCGCCACAGAGTCCAATGGTCCAACGTAAAACCACTATGCAAGAATATAAGCAACAAGAGAGCGCGCCGATTACATGAAGCCATTCATATACGACGACACAAACCAACGATGAACAGAGATCAAGGATTGTTCCTCCCCAGGGCGTATGATATTCTTATCACATAATTAAGGCTAAGCATAATTCTACTTTTTTCTTTTTTATCATATTTAATACTTATCAATATTCCAGTAATAACTTTAAGTTTGTAATAACCATCATAATATGCAAAAATGACAACTAATAATTCCCAACTATTTTTGCTTTTCAGGCATTTCTGCTTTTCAGGCCTGCGGTTATTGTAATTTAATGCACTCAATATTTCTAACCCTGCTTTTCTACATCACCATAACATCCAGTGAAGTACCACTCAATATTTTAAATTGTCAACCTTCAGGGGACTATTGATCATTGTGCAGTCATTGTTCTAAGGGTTTTTCGTATATCAGTGTAATCACTCGCATCAACATCCACATATCAATTATTTTGGTTATAACACAAATCAAATCTCATCTTCGTGGGATGTTGTCATTATCAAAACCTCATCAAATCGTTGTAAATACTCCACAACAATCTATTCTTTTACCATTTGTATTTATTTTAGTGAAAGGGGTCGTTGATAACATTTCATCAATTTTCATTTTCTTGCAACGTTTGTATTATTAAAACCCACTAATCACTGTGTATACTCCACAACAACTTATCCATTAATCAATTAGTCAATTTTTTAGGTTAATTGGTATTATTACTTATTAGCGTACAATTAAATCAGATTACCATTAGGTACACGTAATTAAGTTACATCCCTGGTTTGTCATCATTAACTTAGCATTGTGGTGTACATGTATATATTGTCCTGTCATATTTTCATTTTTTATCATAGCTTGATAATGACTAGAGAAGCCTAGTCGAAACGTCGCTCAGTAAAAAGCAGTAATTGTATTCCATAGAATTGTGACCTGTATACTCTAGTTCAATTACTAAATGCCATTGAAACAGATTATTAGTCTTGTTGCTGCGAAAGAGGGCGTTAACTCCAATTCATTTGTTTATCTACTGATTTGGACAATGAAATCATGAGTTCCACTTTGTATCTAAATACACAGGAAAGTGCTCAAAATCTCATATACGGCGATGTAATTTTCAAAAAACAAAACAAAACAATTATCTGGTGAGACGGAGAGGAAGATGGTTTCCTTGCAGCCGATGCACACAGATAATGGTTTTATAGTTGTCTTTAAACCATTGCGTTAAATAGATTCATCAATATGAATATTATTTCATGGTGTATGTATAAATATGTATTGTTTGCTATAGTGTCGTACAAAAAGCTTTAAGTTTTAAAACCGGGCTATAAATAAAGATTATTCACTATATTTTTATTGGACTTTATTATCGTATGACTTTTCCTTAACGGCTTACTCAAGGGAGGCAACCCTGTTTAGTGGCTATTGGACTGAAACAGTTATAAATCTCATTCCCAAACTACTCTGAATATTAACCGGAGGGAGAGAGAGAGGGAGAGAGAGAGAGAATTTAACGCCCACTCGACACAAACTACATCATTCCGTGACTAACATATGGTTAAATAGTATTTCGATAATTCACTTGCGCGTAGGGGTCTTTAGCAGTAGAAGGAAACCGGGTGATCCAGAGAAAACCCACGAGGTTGGACTGGCGACCCTACTGTAACTAAATGGGAATAATATTTCCCCCAGATTGAACCACAGGTGCATGTAACGTGGAAACTATTTCAAAAATAACATCAAAGTATGACTAAGTATACATGTATGGCTAAAGTTACATACATGTAGGCTATGTTACGTCCAGTGGGGTTGGATGGCTGAATGGTTAGCGTGCGCGCGCTGTATCATAAAGTCTGTCATTGAGTCGACTGGCGTGGTTTCGAATCCCCGGTTGTACGTGACAAGGAGTAAGGTCGCCTGTCCAACCTCGTGGGTTTTCTCCGGGCCCTCCGGTTTCCTCCCACTGCTAAAGACCCGCTCTCTCTCTCCCTCTCTCTCTCTTTCTGTTGCGTCCACCCCTTGGGAGGTCCTGACAAGGACAGCTGTTCAGTCGTTCGGATGGGACGAAAAACCCAGGTCCAGTGTACAAATTGGCGTGCAAAATTTCCCTCATAGCACACTGTATGGCGTATGCCCGTCTTCATTAGCCCAGTTTAGGAGCAAAACAGTCGGACGTTAAACCCCCATTTCATTTCATTTCATTTCTGTTACGTCCATGTTCGTAAGCGAGATTATCAAATAACTGATCTGATTCCAATTTCTTACTCAGGAGCAAATAACTCGTCTGAAACCGATTCTCTTTCAGTAGACCACTTTGTTTCGTTAGTGATCCATGACCGTCGCTGGTTTATTTTTTAGGTAGATATACACAACGACGAACACACAGCTCAGACATAATATACTAAAGTGAACTAGTATAACGCGTACAGTTTTCTTTACAGTTTACCCGTATTATATGGTGAGTTTTAGAATATACTTTTATACTTTTCGAACAGTTTACAAATTTATTAGATCTAGAACAGTTTACAATATTCTATGCCAGATGTGTTCTTTTTTCGTTAGTAAGTGATCATTCTGCACAACCCGTTTGTTTTGTAGCTCGTCCACCAAAAATATGAAACATTCGACTAACTAAGAATTTGTTGATAATGTTATGAACGAGTTTGGATGTGTAATTATTCAGATGACTTCACATATGCGTCTACATCGTTCAATACTAAACCAATAACTTTAGAAATAACTATGGTTATTTTAAGAGAAAATTTCGAACGTAACGTAACATATTTTGTTTCATTTATGCTTTTACATCGTTCAATACTAAACCAATAACTTTAGAAATAACTATGGTTATTTTAAGAGAAAATAAAGCTCAAGGTCGAACGTAGCGTAACGGTGGTTGTGTGACATAAATATAAAGCTAACATATTGTGTTTCATTTAAACCTCAAATATCCAAAGTCTTAATTTGAATATCATTCTTTAATAATAGAAGAGTAAGACAGCATACCTTTTTGGGTGTTGTCACCTCTGTCCGTCGTCCGTCCGTCCGTCCGACATAAATAATTTAAATTTTCTACTTCTCTTCTGTACCGCTGCATATCATTATTATTACTGTTCATTTATTTAACATTTAATGACTAAAATATATGAGATAAGTTCGCTTGTCATCGGATAGCGAATATCTTAAATATATTATAATTCCCTTATCACTTATCATTGTGCTTGATAACGATAAGAGAAACGTCGTGCTTGTGTATAATAAACCAGTGATTGTTGTCCCATATAACTGTATAGGTTTGTAATATCATTTGGGATCTAAATCTTAATATTGTATTTTGAATTCATATTTTAATTTATATTTTTCATTTGTAACTCATTTTGGACATGTGGCAGATTAATTGTAAAATTTAATCTGCATCAGGTGTGGGGTGTCGACATAATATTATGTAAGACTAGAAGAATGCCCGGCTTCGCTCGGGGGTCATAACCCCGAAACCGGAAGTGGTAGACTAACGCCACCTGGCCTATGTTACTCCTCGGTCCGAGCTACCCCTATACCCCCAATTTCAGACTCGGGGCAGACCTAGTGTAGCCGCCAACCCCGAACAGACAGACAAACGGACAGACAAACGACAGTCACAAATATTAGTATAGATGTAATGGGTTGGACAAACTTGTATACTCGGAGTGCCTATATGATATACGATTTAGGCTTAACACGTATCGACACCTTTTGTCTCGAGCTAAGATATGTGACTCTTAATAATTAGTTGTCAATGTTCTGATTACTAATGCTATTAACTGTGACGTGCCTAGCTGACGCGAAAGATATTGCTGTACAGTATAAAAAGCCTAGTTGAGAATCAGACAGGCAGACCCGGAGAGAGACGGAAGAGACCTGTAGAGACCTAGAGGCAATTCGGCCCGGACCTCGGGAGAGTGCCTGCCCTCGATCCCGGAGAAGTTATGTCCTGTGAGGCCTAGGGGGGGGGGGGCAGCTATAGATAGACGTAAATATACCCAACCAAATGATGTTCATATGTAGAATTGTACCTGTAAATATGTTATCCAGTTTTAATATATAAGAGTTATGTATTCTATCACAAATTTACTCACGAATTTGATAATCCCCATGCATAGCTGTATTACTGTAAATAAATATAGATCACATCATGGTAATTAAGATTTTTGAGGAATTTCATGAAAATATACTTATCATTTTGACTAATTTATTCTACTTAAAGATGGGTTCCCAGAAAAGAATTTATCGGGTGGTTATTTCCAATAATAGTATGGTAATTTTGATATATATGGAAAGTAGAGATATCCAATCTTACTAGAAAAATACTGGATTCCCCGAAAAACACTCATGGAGCGTATACAGGACAAAAATAATGTAAGGGTTCCCCTAATCGACAGCCCGGCGATTAGGAATTTCTGCACGCGTGATGTCAAAGATCACACGCGAACATTGAGCGCTTGATGTACAAGACTAGTTGATAAACTTTATGAAGAGTTAGACGTACAACACTTTCTGAGATAAAAATGACGGAAAAAGACGCGGGTAGTGGATAATCCGAGAATTTAATTAGGATTCGATATTTGTAATAAATAGTAAGCGATTAAAGACAACATCGTCTTATGTATGCAATGAATTCTCCTCTGACTTCCAAGAGAGGTAAGTCACGTGACGTAAACATGACCTCGTTTGATTTATTTTTATAGCAGGGCATTTCTTCGTAATTACAATGTTTGAGAAGGATTTGAAGCAAAATTATGACAAATTAATTAGTTTGAATATGTTTTTAGTCCATATATACCATTAAATCACCCAGTTTGCACGCGGGATTGTATCTTTAATAGGTATAGAGCTTGTTTGTATAACAAGTCAGATTTCTGAGACTACATAGGTGTCTTCGAAATCGTGCATATTTCGGACAATATCGACTTTTCACAGCTTAATTTCAATGTTCACTGTACAAACTGCAAATGTCAGCAGGTTTAGTTTTATAATTTGCCACGCTGTATCAAAGGGTCTGTCATTGAGTTAACTGGCGTGGTTTCGATTCCTCGGTTGTATGTGGTAAAGAGTAGGGTCGCTTGTCCAACCTCGTGGGTTTTCTCCGGGTCCTCCGGTTTCCTCCCACTGCTAAAGACCCCTACGCGCTAGGGAATTATTGAAATGGAATATTGTATCATGTGTTAGTCCCGACATGACGTAGTTTGTGTCGAGTGGACGTTAAACCCCATTTCTCTCTTTTTCGCTTTATAATTTACAATTTCCATCGCTCCACAATACCATTGCCACAGTGTTAAAATACAGAATACACTTTTCAATAATACAAATACAGTATAATAATTAGTTTGCACATTACACTTCTACATTCTGCAATTTGCATAATAGACAAATGCATAATAGAACTTATAGCATATTAAAACATATGGGATCTACGACAAAGCTCATGTGCATACGGAAAAAAGTCCGGACTAGGACGGAAATTAGTAATTTACGCGATCAAACTACAATGTCAATGTCAGTAAAGGGGGCAGAGATCAAACTGACATACAATAAGTTGGTTTACCATGCAATAAGGGCAAATCAAGCTAGCATGCAATAAGGAATTCGCTGGAAGACCATGACTCATGCACTCGGTATGGCTGATCCAAGCTTTCGATAAGACCCACATTTTTACTTCATACCCCCGCCCCCACACACACACCTTCATTTCAACTTTAATCTTTTTATCTTTTTTTTTCAAAGTAGGGAGCCATGGTGGATACGTGAGTAAGACGCTGGCTATAACCATGGAGGTCGGTTATTCGATCACTGCATTGGCCGAGAAAGTTCATTAGGACATTCCGACGTAGTTTCACCATGTCAGTGGTGCAGGAAGGAGGGTCAGACAAATAGGTCCCGTGTATACATTGGTGTGCACGTAAAAGATCCCTTGGCAGTTGGAATTCGACAAAAGAACAGGTCATAGTGCCGTTGCTAGGGCAAAATTGCCCTCATAGCACACTGTATGGCGTATGCGCGTGTTCATTAGCCCGGTCGGAGTAGATCAGTAGGGCGTTAAACCCCATTTCATTTTTTTCAAAGTATGTAAATATAAATGTTCCAGAAAATTATTTAAATATTAGAAAAAAGAAATGAATGTGCTTTTTAGTAACATGATATCTGGAATTTGTATTAAGACTTAAGAACTTAAGAACAGTGCATACAGAGATAAAAGGTCAATATTATATATATTATCAAGAAGCATGGCTGGAGGTCAATAAGTTCAATTTGATAACAGTTATAGATCACCTTGTTACATAAACCATGTAAATATAAATGTGCCAGAATATTATTTAAATATTTGAAAAGAGAAATGAATGTGCTTTTTAGTGCTAAGTAATATGAAATCTGGAATTCCTATTAAGATAGGTATGTTAACTTTAAATACACCCACCCACGTGATTTAATAGAGTTTCGTACAACCCGACTATGATCGTTTTTCTTTAGCCTTGTCAGTGGTGCAACACGGAGGGCTTGACAAGGACAACTGTCTTATTATTCGGATGGGGCGAAAATAAAGGTCCCGTGTACACATTACTGTGTACGTAAAAGATCCCTTGATAGTTCAAATTCGATGCAAGAGTAGGCCGTATACAGCGCCGCTGTCCGGGAAAATTTTCCCTCATAGCACACTACATGGCGTATGCCCGTTTTTATAAGCCCAGTCGGAGCAGAAGAGTAGGACGTTAAACCCCATTTAAGGTATATGTTCTAATAGGCTAAGTTCTATTATGCATGAGGGGTTGGATGGCTGAATGGTTAGCGTGCGCACGCTGTATCATAAAGTCTGTCATTGAGTCGACTGGCGTGGTTTCGAATCCCCGGTTGTACGTGACAAGGAGTAGGGTCGCCTGTCCAACCTCGTGGGTGTCCTCCGGTTTCCTCCCACTGCTAAAGACCCCTATGCGCAAGCGAATTATTGAAATAAAATTAAACCATGTTAGTCCCGAAATGACCTAGTTTGTGTCGAGTGGACGTTAAACCCCATCTCTCTCTCTCTCTGCTCACTAATAATTCATTCGAAGACCAAAAGTTGTTGTATGAGATTGTGAGAGGATATCTGACAATTCATCAAAAGAATTGACTGCCAGTAGATAAGTGAACACGAAAGAAAAACAGAAAAAGTCCGTGCATTACCATGTTTTTATAAGATTTACAATGAATATAAACAAGCGAATGTACGGACTATTTCTATTTTTCTCGTGTTCTCTTATCTAATGACATTCAATTACTTTATTTAATTGTCAGGTATCCTCTTACAGTCCCATATATCAACTTTTGGTCTTCGAAGGAATTATTAGTGAGCAGAAATTCGGCCGTATATCCGTTATCACTCGTCACATCAGTCAGTTATATAGAGAGACGGCTCGTGTTTTCCTTTGGCGTTCGTCACTTCCGACTCAGGAAACCTGTATTACTCGGCTATCGTAGCAATGATCTCTGTGCTAAAATTATTTTTGGAATGTGTTTAACCAGCTCTATCACATATGTGATAATGACTGGCACCAATATTGTCCTTTAAATAGTAAGGGCTAATACTGAATTGTCCTTACAATGTATCCTGGTATGTCAAATCACTCACAATGTTATATCATTAATTTTCAAAGCAGCTCAGATCACTGCATTCTGAAAAGTCCTCGCACTTCTCAATAAACAGTTCTTCGGGCATCATTGTCTCCATCCACTTAGGCTCCATTTCGTCATTCCAATCATTGTCACAAGCACCTGTGCCTTCCTAATCGTGGATGCCTGCTGCACACCATTCTCGAGCTATAAAATGCGCTCTGAGTTTATGAAGCTGCAATGTTTGACGAAGATGGCATACCTTAATTGCTCCATTTACGTTCTTGGTCTTTACCCCGTACAGCAGTGATACGTATTCGTCAAGGTCCTCGAACACTTGTGATGGGAGAAACATGTAAATCAATAAGTATAATTGGAGTTATTTTCCTTGGTAAAAGTTTCCATTTGCAAGAAAATGCGATGCTTATTTTTGTTGTGAAAGTTGTTTTGTTTACTTATTGTCCCATAGGGCCACTCCTAACTCCTTTAAAATCATGATGCGGAATTGGCCACTACAATATCTTCACATTTTATTCATGGCCACTACAATATCTTCACATTTTATTCATGGCCAATAGGCAATATCTTCACATTTTGACATTTGATTTATATACTAAAAGCACTTTTTATCAACGGGTACCCTGTGAAATCTGGGACTTCGGCTTTATGTGAGGACTTCTATCGTTATTCACACTCCAAGTCGTGATTATATACTTGACTATTGAGTTACCTAAACGTGTGTAGAGTACCTTTGGTCTTTTCTTTTAAACAGAAATCTCCCAGTTGTTATATGTTTTTACCAGCGTTATAAACAATGGAAGCTAAGTCATTTGAACCCGTTGATGGAGGTGGTAATGTAATGAAACTAAAGAAGATTGGTGAAAGAAGATTGGTCCCAAGTGTTCGAGCTGAAAACTGGTGTGGTATGCGTGACGTGAAAACTAGAGTAGATGACGTCTTTATAATAGAGTATGCCAAGTCAGGTGAAGTACCTCCATTTAGTTGGGAATGATTAAGATATAGCAATATGGGCCATTTTCCTTTATTAAGTTCGGTTTTAAATTTAATCAATGTTTGAACTTTGGGTACATCAACATAAATAACAAAACACTGTGATGTGGACGCGATTCATCCCGTTTTGAAGTATCTGATGAACGCTCATTCATGAGTGTTGTATTTAGATCAGTGACATGGTATTGTTATTTTCTTTTTATATATTTATTGTCGTTTTCTCTTGATATAGGCCTATAGCTAGCCTGGAGGTCGGGTGTTCGATCCATGCATTGGCCGAGAAAGTTCACCGAGATTTTCCGACGTGGTTTCCTCTTGTCAGTGGTGCAGAACGGAGGGCCCGACAAGGACAGTTGTTTAGTCCTTCGGATGAGACGAAAAACCGAGGTCCCGTGTATATATTAGAATGCACGTAAAAGATCCCCTGGCAGTTGGAATTCGATAAAAGAGTAGGCGATAGTGCCGCTGCCCGGGCAAAATTTCCCTCATAGCACACTGTATGGCGTATGCCCGTCTTCATTAGCCCAGTATAGGAGCAGAACAGTAGGACGTTAAACCCCATTTCATTTCATTTCTTGATATATAGGACTAAGTGTATGTAGAGGTGACCATGATTTTGAACAGCAACACATTTTTATCATTTGTCTTGTATAAATTTATTGCTATTTCCTTTTATAAATAGGACTTCATTGGATTTATGAAGATGTGGCCATGCTGCGTCGTGGAGAAACTGAACTAATGAATAGTATTATGGAATTAAATCATATTGACTTTTTGACACCGGCACTTGTGAACCAGATGACATCACCAAGAACTATGTGTACACATCGCTATAGCAATGAATTACCAGCTGATATGTTGGATCAGAAATGTAAAATAATTCAACTTGTAAGAAATCCCAAAGATGTGTGTGTTTCGTATTTTCACCACCTCCGAGAAATGAAAAGTTTAGAGTATGGAGGTTCATTTGATGACTTTATTTCCTTATATAAACGAGGGGACGGTAAGTATCGTAAGCTAGTATTTTATTTAAATAAATCAAAACCCATTCTCAATATTTACATTAAAATTTAAGACAAAATGGGAGGGATGGCCCAGAGAAAACCCACAAGGTTGAACAGGTGATCCTACTCAATGTCACGTACAAGCGGGGAATTGAAACAATGTCACTTGATGAAATGACGACAGACCTTATGATCCAACGCGCACGCGTTAACCATTCGGTACCATGGGGTTTAACTTCCTACTCTTATATCGAATTCCAACCGCCAAAGGATCGTCTACGTGTATGCCAATGTGTTCATGGAACCTTGGTTTTTCGTACCATCCGAACGACTATACGTTGCCCCTTGTCAGGTCCTCTGTCCTGCACCACCCACAAGGTGAAACCACGCCGGAAACTCCCGATGAACTTTTTCGGTCAATCCATGGATCCAACACGGGATCTCCACTGGACTCACCTGGCCCCCGTGCAGTTAAATATCAATTTATGGTGAAAACATGTTACTTACTCAACCTTTGCTATATGTTTATATTTTAAGTCCCCTTTAACTCGTGGGAAGATCATTTTCTTCACTGGAAGAAGTTTAAACATGACAATCCAGGCTATCCAATACATACAATTAGATATGAAGACATGAAAAGTGTAAGTATTTGTTTCATTATTTCTGAGAACAAGCACTTAAAGGTAATGTCCAACTTTTAAAAAACAGACAAGGGCGAGATATGTTATAGATATATATATATTCTAAGCATCATATCCCAACTTTAAATTATTTATTAAAAAATCAAAAACATGTATAAGTGAAATTGACAAATAAACTGTTTTGTCCCAATTTCAATTATCCATATTGTTTTCAATTTATTATAAAATCTTTTAAATTTTTGATATGATATGCATAAGAATATACATATATGTATAACCAATATTTCTTTGTCGGTCACCTTTTCTAACACTTTGGGCGATATTGACAAGAAAATCGCCATTGTCGGTGATTAGGATAATAGGACCGTTTATGCCAAATCTCAATTATTCAAAATTTTGTCAATTTGTGAAATAATTTAAATGTTGGGTATGATGGGTAGATTGGGCATATATATATAACATATATTTCCTAATGGGTCGAATTTTGGGAAGAAGAGTCAGAAGTTGACGCCATGTTTGGACAAATTTAATGGTACCTATAATACTGGTATTTATCCTTCCAATACCATCAATATAACTGTCAAATGTATTCAGATAATTCAATCGACTGTTCCTTAGTAATTGTCTTGACAATAAAATAACTCGATGACAAATGGTTTGCCTTTTTTTAATGCTTGTACCTTACTATTTTTTCAGAGACCAGTTGAGGAGATTAAAAAGATGGCTGACTTTTTGGATATTTCATGTTCTGAAATGATGTGTCAAAATATTGCCCTTGCAACAGCTTTTGCTAAAATGAAGCAACAGAAGGAATCCCTTGAAAATAAGTTTTTGTATGCATTCAAAAGTGGAAAAGAAATAATGTATAGAAAAGGTGAATCCTAAAATGACTATTGTTTAGCTGTGTATTATATAGTCCCCCATTAACGGTTCCTTATAGATCTACGCCTATGTATGGTAGTTCCTTGTAATCTTACAAGGGTCACCCATTACCACCGATTAACGGTTCGGTATAGGTCTGATCCTATTTAAGATGTATTTCCTTATATTTTTTTATGTTTATTTCAGGAGAAACAGGAGACTGGAAAAATTATTTTTCATCTGCAGAAGCAGAATCGTTTGATGCTTATTATCGACAAAAGTTAGATACACTTGATCATATATATCTATCAGATAAACCTTCATCTTCTTCCTCTTAATTTACTGCTTTAAAAGTACTAAACATATCCGACATGATAACATATAACATTAAAGTACATTAAATGGTGAAATTATCTGTGAAAAGTACAAGTGTACGGGTAAATTGAAAATTAAAGTTGCTGGATTAAATCGGGAATTTAGAAATTTAGATGTTGTGTGGAGTTTTCCAAAATATTTTCTTACTTGCATTAATTAAAATTTAGATAAAGAGCTGACTGTTCTTGCTATAATATTTCAAATGAATATCTTGGAAATTACATACAAATTTCTTTATTGTAAGCGAAATTTTAACCGTTAGACGTTTTTACAGGATGTTGCATAACAAATTGTTTATTATCGTAACAACTGTGCTTGTTATTCGAGACAGCCTCGATCGTGTTTTATCCGTTTAAATCTACGCCATCCGATGATTTAGAGAGTTGATTATAGACCTGTCATGTGAATAAATGTCTATAACTTTTAAAACCAGAATAAAGACCTGCAATAGGCAGATTTATCTCTTACATAATGCATCTTTAAGAACGCTTTATTTGGCTCTGCACAGCTTAATCATATAGACATTATACACACTAAACGTATATTCTCTAGACAGCATAACCGTATACATTATACATTCCCTCTAGATAGCATAATCCTATTTACATTATACATTCTCTGGGCGGGGGGGGGGGGATGGCCGAATGGTTAGCACGTGCACGCTGTATCTTAAGGTCTGTCATTGAGTCAACTGGCGTGGTTTTAAATCCCCGGTTGTACGTGACAAGCAGTAGGGTCGCCTGTCCAACCATGTGGGTTTTCTCCGTGTCCTCCGGTTTTCTCCCACTGCTAAAGAACCCTACGCGCAAGCGAATTATTGAAATAAAATTGAACCATGTGTTAGTCCCGAAATGACCTAGTTTGTGTCGGGTGAACGTAAACCCCATTTATCTCACTCTCTCTTTAGGCACCATAACCCTATATACATTGTACAAAGATGTATTTAATCTATTAATCTATAAGTGGTCAATCGAAACTTTGTTTATTATCGTAACAATGGTACTTGACTATATCGTGAAACCTTCAACCACTAATAACTTTGCCCAGAATAAGGAAATTTGACTGAAATTTTCATTATAATCATTTTCGTTATCTTTTATGGCAATAACGGCCACCTCGGTATTTACATCTTACATAATGCATCTTTAACTATTGAATAATGTAATCATATTATACGTCAGTCTGGTGGTTGGTGCCGAATAAATAGTTCTTATCTCTGATGGTATGATTTGATAAATATTTATTCTCTACCATTGTCTTCATTAACCCGCGGCGCGGTTGGTGCCGAAAAGTAGGTCATTCGACGCCATTTCATTTCATGTCATATTCGCTGTCACCTTTCCTAAAGGATTTAGAAGATTTCGGGGTTTTATTTACATGTAGTTAGTACAGTTTTATCAATATACGAATGTAATTTAATATACTATTCTTCTTTCACGCCGGACATACTTCGTTTGGGGGCTGACGATCCCAGGACCGGATCCAGGATTTTGTCGGGGGGGGGGGGCATACATTGGAGCAAAGGGTAATCATCAGAGTGCCGCATGCATTAGTGGTTTGGTGTGGTCCCCAGAGTCTTCGTCGCGGCCTCATTAAACAGAAACTAAAATGTGGGAATCCCATTGCTGGCTGCTGGGACTGGTTTGAACAGTGATGACCTGTCTCACTGGGGCTCGGGGGGGGGGGGAAGCACGGCCCCTGCCCCCCAACCCGGACCCGCGCCTGGTTCCGATAACTTGAACTTATCGATGGTGTGTGTATGTATGTATACCAAGATCCGCCTTGATATGAATTATAATAAATTATCAACCCAGACTCAAAGAAGACGATGAATCCGGGGATATGAACCCTCTGTGACAGGGGCCCTCAGTCCAATGGGGGGGGGGGGTGACATCCCTTGGTTTGAGGGACTGGGAGAGGGAGAATAAAATGGTAGCCTCCATGTACATAAACACATGTTCAAGCATGACACTTGAATAAAGAACTATAATCAAATACGTCTACTTGAAGTCTTTAATACAGACCTAGACTTATTATATGGCGTCAGAAGTAAACCAAAATCAAAATGAATGAGCTTCCAGTACCTAAAAAACTTGACTTAACAGGAAATAAAAGTGATAACTGGCGACGTTTTCTACAAGCTTTCCAACTGTATATGACAAGTACCAACCGAGATACAAAGTCCCAGAAAGTCCAGTGTGCCACATTTTTGACCCTGGCGGGTGAAGAGGCAGTGGAGGTGTATAATACATTCCAATTTTCGCCAGATGAGGTTGACAAATTAGAACCATTGATTGGAAAGTTTGAAAAATATTGTAGTACTAAAAAGCATCATGCTATTAACCAGCATATGTTTAATTCAAGAAAACAAAATGAAGATGAATCGTTTGATGAATATTTGCTAGATTTAAGGCGTTTAGTCAAAGACTGTGGATTTGGGGAATTGACAGATGGATTCCTTGTAGACAACATAATTGGCGGAGTCAAAGACAAGAAACTAAGCCGAAAGCTTCTTAATGATGATGTGGATTTAGATAAATGTATTGACATTTGTAGAGTGTCAGAAGCGACATCACAACACCTTGAGGGCCTTCAGAAGGATTCCACAGAAGTACATGCTGTACACCGGAACAGGAGACCATATAGACCACCAGCCCCACCTGGTCAATATGGGATGGAGTTTAAACCAAACTGTAGGAGTTGCGGGTATTATTCACACAGAGAGGAAGAATGTCCTGCTAAGGGACAGCGATGTCACAAATGCAACGAATATAATCATTTTTAAAAAATGTGTACTTCTGGTAACAGTGGGCCTAGGCCTAATAGCATGCGTTATGAGCCGAACAAAAGTTACAGAAATTTTAAAAGTTATAAGAAGACGGTTGACAATATAAATGTAGATGATCAAGGTGATGAAGATGAATTTTTCATTGATTCTATAGATGGAAATAGGAGCACCAATGAGGAATGGATAGTTCCTTTAATAGTGGGAGGATCAGTCATTCCTATGAAGTTGGACAGTGGTGCGGAACCTAATATTTTGGGCGTAAAAGATTTTATGCAATTGCAAAGCAGGCCTAAACTGAGAGAAACGTCTGTGAGGTTAAAAGCATATAATGAAACTGAAATACCTGTGAAGGGACAGTGTGTTTTAAATGTTGAACATAAAGGTCAAATATATAAAACTCGTTTTATTATCTGTGACGGGTCAGCCAGACCCATATTAGGAAGAAAATCCTGTGAAGCATTAGGTCTTCTAAAAGTTGTCTTTGAAATAGAAGTTGACAACAAAGACAAGATTGTTGATTATGAATATCAGGATCTTTTTAAAGGCCAAGGTTGTTTACCAGGAGAAGTTAACATTAAATTGAAACCAGGAGCACAGCCAGTTGTAGAAGCATGTAGGAAAGTCCCATTCGCTTTGCAAGAAAAACTAAAAGAGGAGTTGAAACGGATGGAAGAAAATCAAATCATTATTCGTGTGGAAAGCCCAACCGATTGGGTCAATAGTATAATGTTTAGTACACAAACCAAATGGCAAGATTAGAGTGTGTCTTGATCCAAGAAATTTAAATAAAGAAATTTGTAGAGAACATTTCAAACTTCCGACGAGGGAAGAAATTATGAGCAAATTTGCCAATGCGAAAGTGTTATCAAAGCTTGATGCCTCAAGTGGATTCTGGCAATTGAAGCTAAATGAAGCTAGTTCCTACCTATGTACTTTTAATACTCCTTTTGGACGATATCGCTTTCGTCGTTTACCGTTTGGTATTAGTTCTGCCCCCGAGAACAATACATCAGTTATTTGAGCACATGCCTGGCGTCGACAATTCCATGGGTGACATTATCATCTGGGCATCCAGTAGTTCTGCCCCCGAGAACAATACATCAGTTATTTGAGCACATGCCTGGCGTCGACAATTCCATGGATGACATTATCATCTGGGCATCCAGTAAATCGGAACACGATGAGCGATTAAGAAATGTATTAAATAAAGCTAGAGAAGTAGGTCTAAAACTAAATCGTGAAAAGTGTGTTATAGGTGTTTCGGAATTAATATTTTTAGGTGACATGGTTTCAAAAGATGGGTTAAAACCTGACCCGCGCAAAGTGGAAGCAATAGTTGAAATGCAGGCCCCAATTAGTGTACCGGAGCTACAACGATTTCTTGGAATGATAAACTATCTAGCACGATATTTACCAGACCTATCTGAAAAGACTGCATTCTTGCGTACACTTTTAGACAAGAAGAATAATTGGAATTGGACACCAAATCATCAGAAATCATTTGATGAACTTACGGCTTTAGTATCAAGTGAACCTATATTAAAATTTTATGATCCATGTAAACCCATTAAAATTTCTACTGATAGTAGTATGCATGGAATAGGATGTGTTTTACAGCAAAAACAAGGTAGTGAATGGTTTGCTGTTGCATTTGGCTCTAGCGCTATGACTGAAACAGAAAGTCGCTATGCCGCAATAGAAAGAGAAACTTTAGCAATAACATATGCATGTGAACGGTTTCATCAGTACATTTATGGTCAAACATTCGAAATAGAAACCGATCACAAGCCGTAGATTGCTATATTTTCTAAGAGCTTAAATGATTGTCCATCGAGAATTCAGGTTAAGATTAAGATTGCAAAAATATGATTTTCGTTTAACGTATATTCCTGGAAAACATATGTATGTTTCAGATACTTTGTCTAGGGCGCCTAATAACGTTAAGGAGGTCTCTAGAACAGAAGATCACGCGAATACATATGTTTTGGGTGTTATGAATGCTTTGCCTATATCAGATAGAAAATTAGAAGAAATCAGAGTTGAAACAAGTAACGATAAAATTTTATCAGCTTTGAAAACTGTAATTTGGTATGGTTGGCCTAATTTAAAGAGAAATTGTGATGTTGATTTATTACCATTTTGGAACTTTAGAGATTAATTATCTGTAATAGACGGTATTGTTTTTAAATGTAATCGAATTTTGATACCATGTAAACTTAGAGCAGTTATGTTAAATAAGATACACACAGGTCATTTAGGCATAGAAAAGTGCAAAATTAGAGCTAGACAAGTTCTATTTTGGCCAAATATTAATACAGACATAACAGACATGATTAAACATTGTGAAAGTTGTCAAAAATATCAACGAAAACAGTCAGCAGAGCCTTTAAAAAGTCATGAGTTAGCTACATATCCCTGGGAGAAAGTCTCCACAGATTTGTTTGAATTAGATAAGAAGCACTATATTATTATTGTAGATTCCTATTCTAATTATCCAGAGGTAATTCAGTTGTCTAGCCAGACTTCAAGGTCAGTAGTAAAAGCTATGAAATCTGTATTTGCAAGACATGGGATTCCAATGCAAGTATTTAGTGATAATAGTCCATGTGACAGACAGATTTTCATTACCAATTTGATGAATAAATTTAACCATGATTTTCAGTTAGCCTTAGGTCTAAAGTGTCCAAAATTGGTTGATGGACATCCGGGTCACTTTGCCAAATGTGAGTTTGGCGGCCATCTTTAAAAAATGGCCGCCATTTTTTTTTATTTGAAATAGTGCAAGTCAGGGAAA